GACCTTCAGTCTCATTAACTGATCGTTTCACGGTTCGTGAACGGCCTTGAAGGCTACCGTGGCGGTTCGTGACGGCACATTCCACCGTGGAATGGACAGTAAGAAGATGACAAAGAAGAAGAATCTATTGACGTCAAAAATTTACGTTAATTCATTTTCGATTCGTTTGATCCCGCATTCCTTAGTCAACGGAGAAGAGGTGACCGCTCTGCAACGATTTTAGCGAGTTTTGCATATAGAATCAGATTTTTAAAATATTCTAATAACATTTATATATACGGCAAAGTTTTGATAGATTCACTAAAGAATAGTGTTGCAGAGTGACGGTGATCCTTCAGCGTATATCGAATATCGAAGAAACATATCTAAATGCAGTTTTCTTTTATTTTAGAGGTTAGAGGGCAGCAGCTTCAATACTTTTTCCAGTGGTTCTGATTTTCGGGCAACAGGAAAACTTCATGATTGCAAACGAAATCAGGTGCTCGATATAATGGAGCCATTTTGACCATCGTCTAGCCCTTAGTAGCCTTCAACGTCGCTTTTCAAGAAAGTCTGTCATCTGAGTCCTGCAGGTGGCATGCTGATCACGTGCCGGAGCCATCGCTATTGAGAATTCCGAATCTGAAGAGGGAGCGGCTCACAGTTGAGGGTACTTTGTGCTGCCTTGTTCTGAAGTTTGTCCAATCACAACAATACGCAATTAAATGTGATAGGGTTCTGTTTACAGGATAGACAAATAGCTCTTAGTCAACGGCAAGGAACTAACGACAGTAAAGATGGCATTGCACATGGTTGAGGGCACCTACCAACGCAGATATTAAACTCCCTTATCAACACCTTTCGCTACGTGCGTCCTCGCTTCTCACGGCACGAGTGACAATAGAGGTTAGATCTAGAATTTGGTAGCAATGAGCATCATGCGTATTTCGTCATTTGCATAAAACAGAGAAAGACGGTAAAAACTGGGGGTTTTTGTTATAAATCCATCGATTCTCCGTTCAACGCATCTGAAGTTAAGCTAGAGATGCTTATTTCTATCCATTCTCGGATATCATCTTCTTGTCATCATTGTCTGGCTCAGCATTATCGGTCGTCATCTACCGCCGTTCAAAAGGATTTCAAGATACCTTCTTCTAGGAGTCAATGACACAAATTGTGATCCTCTGTCTTTTCAACTTATTTTTTATTCAGGTTGCCGTTCTCTTCGACAGACTGATTTATCTAAACAACAAAGTGGTCCGCCCTGGTTTATTTACAACGCCTCAATTTATTAGTCGATCCTTTAGTGGTCCATGATTGTCCTTTATGGCCGGCCGTTGCGGCTGAGGAGCACGATCCTCAACACGCGTCGCTCTCGCTACCGATTGATTGCTTTGGTTCTCGCTATCCATTCATGACAGTGACGTAGAAGTTGACTTTTAGCACAGCGGAACACTTGTAGCTTATTTCAGACCATTTACAGTAACATGTCTTCCGTCGTGCACGAAAATGGGTAAATGAAACTTTGTAACCGTTGGAATGTCCGTCTTTAATTCTCTTTAATGATGAGGCCATTTCCGGCGTCCTTCTTTTCATGAAACGGATTGTGGGTCGCTGGTTTCCATGTTCATCTCATCAGCCAGGAGTGCCTTGTTCGTTTCAAAGCAGTCTACAACAGTTATGTGGCAAGCGTAGGGCGCAATATCCTGGTTTCTTTCCACCGAGTTGTACTCATTTTTCAATCTCAGAAGGAAGAAAGGCGCGTTTGACCGACTGGGATTAGAACCCGAGATTTCTCGGATCCAATTCGACCCTCTCTGACTGAGAATCCCACATCTGAAGCAACTTGAGGTAAATTCATGGTTATGACAAAGATTGGCCTCCGAGGGAATCGAAGCTGAACTCACTGGCACTCTGCCATCACTCCACCTTTGGTCCACCTCCTGGTTTCGCCACTGACGTTGTGAATGCACTGCCGCATACCTGTTTTGAACAAAGCCTGAAAGAAAACGCGCAGACACAGTGTGTATCGGTTTTAATTACTTACTTTGTTCTACAAATTGGCCACAGACATAAGGAAATCCATGCCATCCTTGATTTAGCAGCAAAGCCTTCATGCAAACGCAAACGTCATGCTTAGGAATTTTGTCTGACACTTCTACGCTGACGTACTACGTAAGCGGATTGTAGGCTGAATCAGCGGATCTTAATTTCGGTTGACAGACAACTGGCCGTAAAACTACGGTACGAGTCATCGCTATCATTGGGTCATACTGACGCTTTCGCACTGCGGGACACACTTTCAAACGACGTTTTTTTCTTCGCTTCTCTTGAGTCTGAAGAGCCCCGAGTTACAGAGAGTTAATTACTGAGGTATGAGGGGAGGGGAATAAGTGGGGCATTTGAGAGTGAGGAATTCGCAATGAGGCATTTTACGTGGCTTAGACCAACTTTGAAATCAATAATGTCGCCTAAATGAGGCAACGGTGGGTCAGCACGGCAGAAGAATAAAGTTTTTCTTAGTCTCCGTCTAAAACAAAGGTAAGTCGTAGACTGAGAGGTTCCTGAGAGCGCAAAATTATTGATCAAAAGAAATAGATGGAAGGAACATTGCAAAACGTGGTTCTTTTCTAGAAAATTCAGCACTTGATGCGCTGATTCAGCAGACTATAACTCAGCGACGAATACTTCAAAATCCTCCGTTCACCACAGTTCTAATTATCCAACGGCTCAGTGTAGACCTCACATACATAATGGGTTTCCGTCCTTTGTTATTAGCACCAACCCCGCAAGTTCCCTCACCGTATCTGTCGCCCAAAAGAAACATCTATGGTACACCAGCTGAATGCGGTGGATTAAAAGTTTTTCGTAGGAGGGGTCAACACCAATTCCCTGACAAAAAGTCGACTTCATTCGCAGTGGGGACGTATGCAACGTGTTAAGACTCCTGCACGTCTAGGCGGAAATCAGGGAAACAAGTATGTGGCTATTATCAGTAATATGAAATAATATCCCAAAGAAAAATAGGTCAGCTAGGTATTTGCCAACAATGACCAGGGAGGTAAGACGCGAAGCTTTTAAGGAAAGTTCTCATTCTCATGGAAACCGCCCTATCGGCGTTCACAAGATGTCTGACTGTTCTGCGCTGTGCTGACAAATCAGAAAACTCTAAGATAAATTATGGGAAGTCTAGTGACGGTTTCCAACTTAACTCGCGCCTCGTAAAATGTCATTAACTCCCAACCAGCTATTGAAAGTCTTTGTGTTGTCATAACGAATGCGCTAAGTGTAAAGATCGCTCATATGCACATTAACATCCTGCTTTTACGTAGCTACGTCTCAGATAATAAAATTGACGAAGCTATTATATCATTTTTTCTGATTATCATTCTCATTATTATCTGATCCTCATTTTTCATATTTCTCCTTTACTGAGAAAGAGCATTTTTTCTGCATTGATAGTCATGCTGCAACAGAGGTTAAAAGCAATTTAATTACACGCATCGCAAAACGGTCAGAGTGTCAGGTTAAAATGTAGGATCTGCATGGACTGTGAGCAAATAGTGGTCACGATAGAGTCACGATAGTCATAACGATAGGACGCAATCGGCTGAGGTTTACGCGTTAAGTTGCCTTTGTTGTTACAGCTGTCGCCATCACCGGCTTAGCCGGCTCCAGTGAAGTTCGCGAGAGAGGACCTCGTCATCTGCTTTGACAGTGATTCACCAGGTCTTAAGTTGCGTACCTCTTTCCGGTGTCCTGTAGAGGACGAGATGGAGTTCGGTGTAATGAAGGTGATATCGTTTGTCGGTCCTATCAGCATGTGCCTCCGCCAACACAGCCGCCTTGTTTCTAGGAGGGTACAGATTTGGACGGTATCGCAACAAGTACTGATTTATGGCCGATAGATCGTGTCAGGGAGAAGATTTTTATTCCCAGTGGTCGAATGTCTCTGGTTTCCTCACGTCTTTGCCTCTTAGGGCCCCAGCTTTCACACTTCACATCCAGTCCAGCTAAATGAGGATGGAACGGACAGCGTTTCCTGTGTTGTGTATATAATTAAACGCTTGCGCAAGACTTCTTCATATTACAGTATAACCGATTGTGAGTCAAAAAGTAAAACGATGGAGCTTATAGAGACGTTGCCTCAGGAGGACAGCGGCCCTGACGAAATCCCGGCGCAGCGGCGAAGAGCCAATTCCGCCCGAGCTGGCGAAATCGAAATCGAAACCGAAGTGCAGCCGGCAGCAACGCTTTAATGCCTTGATGATTTGATGGCCATC